CCTGCCCTTTGGGCAGGGGGCTGGACTCGATGATCTTCCGAGGTCCCTTCCAGCCCTGATGTCTATGAAATTTCTGTGCTGCAAAGAAGAAATGCACACTGCAAAGAAAGCTACAAATTGGTGGGAACTTTTTCTAGGTCATAACATATAGTCACTGGGCTCTGGAGTTTTCCACTCGTGACCTACTTACATGACCTACTTACAGAATGATTGACAGACTGCCTTCTGTAATCCTCCACTGCACTATAGGCATATGAACAATGGGTTCTGACACCTTCCAGCTCCTAACTTCTATGAATCTATGAAAATATCTTACTAGCTGTGCCCATCACCAACTTTACAGATCTGGCTCATGTACCTTGCCCACAGGAGCAGGAAAATGTCTAGCATTCCCCTGCCCCCCCCGTTCATTTAATCTTATACAGGGTCTTTCTAGTAGGGGTGTGAGAAGGGGGCCCTATTCTGTTTGGATTTGGCCCGAATCAGGGACAGTGATTCAATGTGTTGATTCGTATCACTGTCCTGATTCGATTTGATCGAATCCGAATCTGAAGATTTGATGCTGATTCAGAGAATCAGAGATTTGGACACAGGCACGGCTTTAAAAGTTTTTTCTACGTACCTCAAGGTAGCAGACGCGGCTTGTGAACGCTGCAATGCTAGGGCAGATGGAGCGTCCCACAGGAGTGCGGTGGGGCCCTCCACATGCTCAGCGGTGAACTCAGAAGTGGACTGGAAGTACTTCTGGGCTACTTCCAGGGCCCCTAGGGAGTGTGCTGGGAGCCCACCCCCCCAGGCCTTCCTGGCTTGGCAATCGTCCATAGGGGGACCCTGGGTGCCTTCCCCCCCCCGCCCCCCCGACCCAAGAGGCACCAGTCACTGAGCTGAGGGGAAGTGGGGGGGCGGGGGACAGTGCACTCCCCAGAGGACCTGGAAATAGACTGGAAGTGCTTCTGCTCCACTTCTGGGTCTGCTGCTGAGCATGCTGGAGAGCCTCCCGTGCTTCTATGAGACACTCCATGCACCCCAGCATCACAGCACTCACAAGCCCCTGCTACCTAGAGGTATGTAGAAAAACATTTGAAGATGTGTCTATGTCCGAATCTCCGAATCTTTCTGAATCTCTCTCAATTGATTCAGAGGGTTGCGATTCAATTCAGAGAGATTAAAGGGTCCTCTTATTCGATTCAGATTCAGAGATTTGGCCACCGAATCGGGCTGAATCTCCACTGAATCAAATCAGGGACTGAAGCTTCACATAGCCCTACTTTCTAGCCACCTTCTCCCATCTGGATCCCCCCAAAAAGATGCACATGGCTCTCTGGATTCTGTGGGTGACATGCATAGAAGTGCAGAAGACCAGTGCATTGTACAAAATCACTGGTAGCAACACTACCTTCATATCATAAGCACCACACATCCCCAATAGAGAGGCAACAAAAGTGCCACAGACCCAGCCTCTGCTTAACCTTAGCCTCTATTTCTCTCCTTTACCTTCCTTCCACTCAGCTTAGGATCAAACTCTACCTTGAGGATCTCAACCCTCTCACAGGGAACAGAAACCCCCAGGGAATAAAGAAAAAATAAAAATGTATACCACCATACCTGCAAAGAGAGTCAGCACTGAGAAGAACTGAGTTGAATGGATGATAAACAGAGGAGCAATTTTTAAAATTAAAAAGTATCTATCCATCTATATATTTGTGTGTATATATATATTTATGTGTGTGTGTGTGAATGTGTATATGTATATGTGTGTGTGTATATGTATATCCTTTATCATAGACTTCTACTGCACCTTTTCTTTTCCAAACCACCTTAATAAACCCGTCACCTGTTACAATAACTGCACTTGCTCCCCTGTGCCCACGCAAACCTGCCCTCTGACCTTCCCTATCCCAAACACAGTCTTTTAGTCCCGGCCCCAGTTTGGGGTTTCCCTTCTCAGTTCATTCACAGTCCTTGTCGCTGTCGATGTTGTGGTCTCTTCCACTGCTGCTGCTCCTGTTGTTGTCCTCCTCGCTGTCTTCAGGTCCAGTTGTGTCACTGTCCTCTTCGTTCTCTCTGTCCACTTCCTTTCCTGGAGGGGCTTTGAACAGCCTGTGCCATATGTCCCTTTTCCAGGTGGAGTTGGCTGTGTTCTCTCTGTACACTCCCACTGCTTTCCCGTAGTAGGACTGGAGTTAGCTCAGAAACATTTTAACACAGTCCATTTGCTTAAGCATAATGTGACTGTACATCAGGAAGTTCCTGCATTGCCACAGGGTGCTTCTGATGCAGGACACAAGCAGGTTGTCTGGGACCCCTGACATTTCATCAGGTGTCCATACAGCACCACCACCCTTGTCATCAGCCTGACCCCTGTCATTTCCTCCAGGAGTTTCTACACTCCCTTGTCAAAAGTGCAGAGCCAAAACAGGCAGTTCATGATTTCACTCATTCCTTAGCAGCCTTTCCTGGTACAGCTGAGCTTAGAGTAGTGTCTTGTTCTGTGCCTCCACCTTTTTATTGGGAGTATATAATAAGCTATGAAGCAGTTTGAGTCTCTATAACATAGAAGCACTCGCATGCATCTTATTCACAAAAACCATGCGAGTGCTTCTATATCCACCACCCATTAAACTCAGTCCTCCTCAGTGCTGACTCTCTTTGAAGGCAAGGTGAATATACATTTTGACTTCCTCTTCACTCCTACAGCTGAACTACATCTTTTTTTCCATTGTAATCATTCTTGTTTCTTACCCAGCCTTAAATGCCTGGCAAACATCACCAAACAGAGCCCCAAACAGTTCACCCAGAATCCATCTCTTGCCCTCTCTTAGCCTGTTGCATATGATGTGTGGCCCCGCCCTTCATGAGATGGAGCCAGACCAAGTTGTCCCATGTCTCATCTGCATATACATTTTTGGAAGATCCCAGGACTCCTGACAAGAAGTCCTGACAAGGTATCTCTAAAGCCCCAGATCCATGGGTGCAGGAGGGAAGATGCTTGCCTCGTGGTAGGGTCACAATCTTGATGATGAGCTCTGCTCAGTCAAATTTTGGAACTTGACTTTTGGCTGTTGCCTGATAGAACTCGGAACTGATTTGGCCTTGATGAAGATCAAAGAAAAAAAAAAAAGAAGTGGTAGGTTCCTATCCGTATCTTTACTCCATGTTGGTGACATGTTTTATAGTCATGTTCATTGTCAGCTGAGTTTTAACAACGTTATCATTGGTTTTCTTTACTGAGCATGTGCTGTTTTTTGCAGCACTGGAGCGATGGCTGTGTCAGTGGCTGCTGCTTCCCTGCTGCCAAATTTCTGGGACTCTGGGCAGCCCTGTAGGCTGCCTAGCGTGGCTCTGTTGGCCAGATGTGGCCCATGGATCAGGGGTTTCATAGTTTCATAGTTTTTAGGGGCTGGAAGGGAACTAACAGATCATCAGGGCCAGCCCCCTTGCACTTGGGCAGGAAAGACTGATGGAGTCAAATGACCCCAGCAAGGTGGGCGTCAAGACGCTTTTTGAAGATTGCCAGGGTGGGTGACTGTACCACCGCTGCGAGGAGGTTGGGCACCCCTGCACTGGGACACCTGAAGAGAACAGAGGGAAGGGTCCAGTATTGCTTTTGTGTTGCTTTTGCAACAATAGCACTTGGGCAGGAAAGACTGATGGAGTCAAATGACCCCAGCAAGGTGGGCGTCAAGACGCTTTTTGAAGATTGCCAGGGTGGGTGACTGTACCACCGCTGCGAGGAGGTTGGGCACCCCTGCACTGGGACACCTGAAGAGAACAGAGGGAAGGGTCCAGTATTGCTTTTGTGTTGCTTTTGCAACAATATATACTGCCATTTGTCTAGGGTTGAGAGGAAGTTGTGGTGGTTGTTGTGGCCATGAAGGGCTTGGTGCTATGGGAGAAGCAAGGATGCTTGTGGCTGGTGTCTATCATTGAACCAGCAGCAGGGCTGCGGGCAAGCTCTGTGGTGTGGCAGCAGCCTGCCTCCCTCACTAAGAGCCTCCCTTGCAGCCCTAGCTGCGGTTCCCTGAGGCTCTCAGCTGGAGGAAGATTTCCTGGCCCCCCTGGTCCTTGAGAGGAAGGAAACCCGGGTGCAGTGCCAGGGGATGCAAGGCCAGGAGGAGGCGCTGCACCAGTGTTGCCAAGTCTTATATATGAAATTATTGTATTGGAAGCGCATAATGATCACATTTGCTGAAAAACTGGCTAATATATGCAAACTGAAAATATATGCAAATAAGTATATTATAACTGTGGATTATTATTATTTTTTTAAATATATGTCTTTATATAGGTATCCAGGTTGTAGCTGTATTGGTCTAGAGGAAAAGGCAATCAGGACTCGTAGTAGAAATGATATCTTTTATGAGACTTTCATTTCTACCCAGGAGAACTTTTACAATCTTTTCTGCAGTGCCTGATGAAGGGTATTTGTGCCCGAAAGCTCGCAATTAAAGGATTTGTTTTGCAAAAATCTTGCCGGTCTACTAAAAGATATTATCTTTACTACGAGTCCTGAATGTCTTTATATATACATCAGTGTTAAATATAGCTACACGTTCTATGCAAATACGTCTTATTATTTACTTTGCATTGCTTCCTGTACCTCCCAGTGAGTGAGTGAGAACTGGCTCATCAAAGTTGAAGCATTTCTTTATTTGGGAGCAAGCTGTTGCAAGAAAGAGCTGAGAGCAAACCCGACAGTCAGTTAAGATGTTCTCAGACTGACAGGGCTTTGCATATGTCATCGGGTATTTTGATCACTTTTTTTTTACTATTATTAATCGTACTTTGCAAAAGTTGAAGTTATCGTACAAATACGGTAATTACCGCACACACTGTAACGCTGCGCAACACCTCGCAGCCGGCGAGCCTCCTACTAGCTCCGGAGGACCAACACTGCCCCCGCCCTCCTTGCATGTCCTGTCTGTCTTCCTGGCTGATGTCTATGGTATATTCGAGGGGAAAGACAGGGGGAGGATGGTACTGAGCATGCGCACATCGCGCCTGCGCCGGCCGGCTCCACATCGGGCAGGGCGAGCAGAGGGACCGCGGGGAGATGGAGGCGGCGGCCCGGGAAGAGCTGGGTAGTGTGCTCGGGGCTGGATGGAGATGGCGGAGGGGTGGGTGGTGGCGGAGGGTGGTGGCGTCTTACGCACCGCGGAGGTAGGGTGTCAGGGGGAGCTGAGGAGCTTGGCTCCCCCTCCGCCCGGCCGGGAATGGTTTGCGCCGCTGGGAGGGCGGGATATACCATTGCGCTGCGGCATGGGGGTGCGCCGTCCCCTCCTCAGCGGCCGGAGCTTCCCCCTCCCCCTGGCGGGGACGCGCGGGGGCGGGGCGTGTGCGAGGCTCCGCCCCCTTGGGCGGGGTGGGCGGG